AAACCATCCATCTGACATCTTATAAATAACACATTTGGATCATTAGTAATTTCAATCTTTGTTGTCTCAGAAATTTTTGAAATATGATCTACTGATTCAATTGATGAAACGACTACATTTTTTGTTGCCAAAACTGTGTTATCATCGTTTATATAAATTTGCAAGACTTTTAAAAATTCCATCCCATTACATCCTTGATAACAGATCCAGGTATTGGTAGAAACAATCGACCCTAGATGAACTCTTTTAATAAGATTCTCATCAATATTGTTACTCGCTGAATTGTCATCATGAGCGTTCGCAAAATGTTTGGTTATACTGGACAAAATGACGCGAGTTGCGATTGGAATATTATTGACCTGTCCAGACAAAATATATAAGAATTATAAAACAAAATATGAAGTATATAAAAAAGTGCAGAATGAGTATACATACCACTTCAATAAGATTTAGTCGTATAGAAAATTCCAAATTATCTACCCTATCAAATAAAGAACAAATACCTAAATTACAAGCTAGTGACTTTGAAATCACGGCCTGCGAATCACCCCTGTCAAGCTCATGTTTTGCATGTGAAATATCAGAATTTGACGATGCGTTTGGCAATTGAAATTCTAATTTATCGGGGAACGAAGGATTATCTCGAAATAAAACTGAATATTTTGAATACAATTTTACTGAAGCAAAAAATATTGAGCAGTTTTGATCTGATGATTGACATTGATTGGAGGAACGGAGGGACAAAATTTGGTTTGGACGAATACTATTTTTAAGACACCATGTACGCGGAAGCCATATACATGGCTTTGGTGTTCGCGTATAGTCTGGAGTAAAAATGAAAATGACTTGATTTGATTAATTATAATTAATTATAAATAAGGTAACCATACTATTGATTCTTACGAGACTGTAAATCGTCCACTATTGAAATGACATTTATTATAGTTTGCATTTAAACGATGTTGTAGATATCGATATTGGATAATAATAACTGATGATCACCATTACAATTGATAAACACGTGATAGTCACGACTTTATCTGTTATCTGTTATTGTTTTGGAAAGTCAAAATTTGGTGCACGGTATAATACAGTTATATATGGGCTAAGTGCAGAGAAAAGGGACGAAAATGACAATTTTTTCAAGATGTTTTTTTACATAATTTAAAATAAGATTAGGATCATTTTTCACTTAAGACACAAAAGTAGTTGTGTTAATAAAATTTTGCAGTATAGCTTCTTAAAATTTGCATTTTCTTAT